AATATTAAATGAAAAATAAGAACAAGGCGAGATATCCCGAGACATGAGCAGTGGAACGAGAACAGTCTATCCCGTAGATTAAATAAAGGGTTCAGTTCAGAATTCCTTGTAGATTACCTAGATCGATATACACCTGAGGAAGACTGGAGGGTGAGCGATAACTGAATACTAAATGAAAATAAGAACAAGGCGAGATATCACGAGACATGAGCAGTGGAACGAGAACAGTCTATCCCCGTAGATTAAATAAAGGGTTCAGTTCAGAATTCCTTGTAGATTACCTAGATCGATATACACCTGAGGAAGGCTGGAGGGTGAGCGATAACTGAATACTAAATGAAAATAAGAACAAGGCGAGATATGACGAGACATGAGCAGTGGAACGAGAACAGTCTATCCCGTAGATTAAATAAAGGGTTCAGTTCAGAATTCCTTGTAGATTACCTAGATCGATATACACCTGAGGAAGGCTGGAGGGTGAGCGATAACTGAATACTAAATGAAAATAAGAACAAGGCGAGATATCACGAGACATGAGCAGTGGAACGAGAACAGTCTATCCCCGTAGATTAAATAAAGGGTTCAGTTCAGAATTCCTTTGTAGATTACCTAGATCGATATACACCTGAGGAAGGCTGGAGGGTGAGCAATAACTGAATACTAAATGAAAATAAGAACAAGGCGAGATATCCGAGACATGAGCAGTGGAACGAGAACAGTCTATCCCCGTAGATTAAATAAAGGGGTTCAGTTCAGAATTCCTTGTAGATTACCTAGATCGATATACACCTGAGGAAGGCTGGAGGGTGAGCGATAACTGAATACTAAATGAAAATAAGAACAAGGCGAGATATCACGAGACATGAGCAGTGGAACGAGAACAGTCTATCCCCGTAGATTAAATAAAGGGTTCAGTTCAGAATTCCCTTGTAGATTACCTAGATCGATATACACCTGAGGAAGACTGGAGGGTGAGTTCAAAATTCTTGCGATAACTGAATACTAAAATGAAAATAAGAACAAGGCGAGATATCACGAGACATGAGCAGTGGAACGAGAACAGTCTATCCCCGTAGATTAAATAAAGGGTTCAGTTCAGAATTCCTTGTAGATTACCTAGATCGATATACACCTGAGGGAAGGCTGGAGGGTGAGCGATAACTGAATACTAAATGAAAATAAGAACAAGGCGAGATATCACGAGACATGAGCAGTGGAACGAGAACAGTCTATCCCCGTAGATTAAATAAAGGGTTCAGTTCAGAATTCCTTGTAGATTACCTAGATCGATATACACCTGAGGAAGACTGGAGGGTGAGCGATAACTGAATATTAAAGGAAAATAAGAACAAGGCGAGATATCACGAGACATGAGCAGTGGAACTAGAACAGTCTATCCCGTAGATTAAATAAAGGGTTCAGTTCAGAATTCCTTGTAGATTACCTAGATCGATATACACCTGAGGAAGGCTGGAGGGTGAGCGATAACTGAATACTAAAAGGAAAATAAGAACAAGGCGAGATATCACGAGACATGAGCAGTGGAACGAGAACAGTCTATCCCCGTAGATTAAATAAAGGGTTCAGAATTCAGAAGATTACCTAGATCGATATACACCTGAGGAAGAGAACTGGAGGGTGAGCAATAACTGAATACTAAATGAAAAATAAGAACAAGGCGAGATATCACGAGACATGAGCAGTGGAACGAGAACAGTCTATCCCCGTAGATTAAATAAAGGGTTCAGAATTCCTTGTAGATTACCTAGATCGATATACACCTGAGGAAGGCTGGAGGTGAGCAATAACTGAATACTAAATGAAAATAAGAACAAGGCGAGATATCCTTAGACATGAGCAGTGGAACGAGAACAGTCTATCCCCGTAGATTAAATAAAGGTTTCAGTTCAGAATTCTTTGTGAATTACCTAGATCGATATACACCTGAGGAAGGGAGCTGGAGGGTGAGTTGATAACTGAATACTAAATGAAAATAAGAAATTCAAGGCGAGATATCACGAGATGGAGGGTGAGCAGTGGAACGAGAACAGTCTATCCCCGTGTAGATTAAATAAAGGGTTCAGTTCAGAATTCCTTGTAGATTACCTAGATCGATATACACCTGAGGAAGGCTAGAGGGTGAGCGATAACTGAATACTAAATGAAAATAAGAACAAGGCGAGATATCCGAGACATGAGCAGTGGAACGAGAACAGTCTATCCCGTAGATTAAATAAAGGTTCAGTGAAGAATTCCTTGTAGATTACCTAGATCAATATACACCTGAGGAAGGGTGAGCGATAACTGAATACTTGAATGAAAATAAGAACAAGGCGGAGATATCACGAGACATGAGCAGTGGAACGAGAACAGTCTATCCCCGTAGATTAAATAAAGGGTTCAGTTCAGAATTCCTTGTAGATTACCTAGATCGATATACACCTGAGGAAGGCTGGAGGTGAGCAATAACTGAATACTAAATGAAAATAAGAACAAGGCGAGATATCCTGAGATATGAGCAGTGGAACGAGAACAGTCTATCCCCGTAGATTAAATAAAGGGTTCAGTTCAGAATTCCTTGTAGATTACCTAGATCGATATACACCTGAGGAAGGCTGGAGGGTGAGCGATAACTGAATACTAAAATGAAAATAAGAACAAAGGCGAGATATCACGAGACATGAGCAGTGGAAGGAGAACAGTCTATCCCGTAGATTAAATAAAGGGTTCAGTTCAGAATTCCTTGTAGATTACCTAGATCGATATACACCTGAGGAAGACTGAGGGTGAGCGATAAATCGAATAAATAAAGGAAAATAAAAAATAAGGCGAGATATCCCGGAGACATGAGCAGTGGAACGAGGACAGTCTATCCCCGTAGATTAAATAAAGGTTCAGTTCAGAATTCCTTGTAGATTACCTAGATCGATATACACCTGAGGAAGCTGGAGGGTGAATAACTGAATACTAAATGAAAATAAGAACAAGGCGAGATATCACGAGACACAGCAGTGGAACGAGAACAGTCTATCCCTGTAGATTAAATAAAGGGTTCAGTTCAGAATTCCTTATAGATTACCTAGATCGCACATACACCTGAGGAAGGCTGGAGGTGAGCAATAACTGAATACTAAATAGAAAATAAGAACAAGGCGAGATATCCTGAACAAGATATGAGCAGTGGAACGAGAACAGTCTATCCCCGTAGATTAAATAAAGGATTCAGTTCAGAATTCTTGTAGATTACCTAGATCGATATACACCTGAGGAAGACTGGAGGGTGAGCGATAACTGAATATTAAATGAAAATAAGAACATATCACGAGACATGAGCAGTGGAACTCGAACAGTCTATCCCCGTAGATTAAATAAAGGGTTCAGTTCAAATTCCTTGTAGATTACCTAGATCGATATACACCTGAGGAAGACTGGAGGGTGAGCGATAACTGAATATTAAAGGAAAAGAACAAGGCGAGATATCAGAGACATGAGCAGTGGAACGAGAACAGTCTATCCCGTAGATTAAATAAAGGGTTCAGTTCAGAATTCCTTGTAGATTACCTGATCGATATCACCTGAGGCAGGCTGAGGGTGAGCGATAACTGAATACTAAATGAAAATAAGAACAAGACGAGATATCCTGAGACATGAGCAGTGGAACGAGAACAGTCTATCCCCGTAGATTAAATAAAGGGTTCAGTTCAGAATTCCTTGTATTACCTAGATCAATATACACCACTTATCGATAACTGAATACTAAATGAAAATAAAGAACAAGGCGAGATATCACAGACAGCAGTATAACTGAGTCAGTCTATCCCCGTAATTAAAATAAAGGGTTCAGTTCAGAATCTCCTTTCATTCCTATACACCTGAGGAAGGCTGGAGGGTAGCAATATAATACTATTGAAAATAAGAACAAGTTCATATCCCGAGATATGATTTTGGAACATCACCATCTATCCTCTAGATTAAATAAAGGGTTCAGTTCAGAATTCACTTTTTCAACCATCGAGAAGGCTGGAGGTGAGCGATAACTTTTTAAATGTCTTCCTGTTTATCTTTATATCACTTACATGAGCAGTAGAAGGAGAACAGTTCTATCCCCGTAGATTAAATAAAGGTTTCAGTGAATTCATTAGATTACCTAGATCATATACACCTGAGGAAGACTTTTCGTTTTTGTTCTAAATGATAAATAAAATTTATCCCGACTATAATAAATCCAGTCTATCCCGTAGATTAAATAAAGGACATTCAGAATTCCTCTTCTTACCTTGCCGATATACACCTGAAAAGGCTGGAGGGTGAGCGATATTTTCCTGTTTCCTGTCTAATATCTGACATATCCCCATAGATTTATTCATCAGATCTATATTGCCTAGATCGATATACACCTTCGAGGAAGGCTGGAGAGAAGAAATCACTGAATACTAAATGAAATTCTAGATATCCCGAGATATTGGAACGAAGATTAATAAAACAAAATTCCTTGTAGATTACCTAGATCGATATACATTTGAAGACTGGAGGGTGACCAACTGAATATTAAAGGAAAATAAGAAACAAGGCGAGTCACAATGGAGTGGAACTTAAACAGACACCCCGTAGATTAAATAAAGGGTTCAGTTCGAAAACAACACGAGGAAACAATAATATCCCAAGAAAAACGTCGAACAACGAGACATGAGAACGAGAACAGTCTATCCCCGTAGGTTAAATAAAGGGGTTCAGAATTCTTTAAATAACGGAAACAAAAGGCTGGAGGTCAATCAATACTAAATGACTTAAGAACAAGGCGAGATATCACGAGAGACATGAGCAGTGGAACGTTTAAGTCTATCCCGTAGATTAAATAAAGGGTTCAGTTCAAATTCATTTATTTAAAAATCACACCTGAGGGAAGGAAGATGGCGATAACTGAATATTAAAGGAAAATAAGAATTTGGAGAATCAGACAGGAGCAGTGGAAGGTTGTCTAAACGGAGATTAAATAAAGTTCAGAATTCAGGGTGATTGGAAAAGGAAGACTGAACTGAGCTGGGAGATACTAAATGAAATAATAAAGAAGAGAATGGAGAGCAGTGAACGAGAACATTTCCCTCGTAAAAATAAATATTCAGAAAGAATTCCTTGAAATTATGCGATATACAAAGAAGATGGCGGAAAAAAAAGAAAACGGAAGAGAAAGAATGAGACGATGAAAGAGATAGCCATGAAGACAACAAAATGGGCAAACGGTGAAAAATAAAACGAAAGAAAAGAATATCAGATATGATGGAAAAACAGTCTATCCAAAGAAAAAAAAGGGTTCAAACAAAGGAAAAACCTGAAAGAAGGGTGAGCGACAAAAAATAAAAAAAAAAAACAAGGCGAATCACGAAGCAGTGACAAAAAGTCTATCGTAAAAAAAACGAAAAAGAAAAAGATTACCTAGAAAAGCCACCTGAAAAAAAAGGTAGCAAGAAAGAAGACGAAAAATAAGAACAAGACGAGATATCCGAAAAATGGAAAAAAAACCCCGTCGTTAAAAAGAACACAGAATTCGGAAGGTTAAAGATATACGAATAAAATGCAGAAAGAAAGAATAGATAGAAATAATGATAACAAAGAAGAAGAAAAATAGGTTTGAAAGTTCTTGACATAAGAAACAGTCAAGAAAAATGCATTCTGGACAGAAAGTCTTTTGAAAATGAAAGAAAATATAAAGAAATATAAATAAATAAAGAAAGAATGAGGATATACTTATAAATGTAGTAAGAAGAAATCAAACAAAAGAAAGAAAAATAAGAAACAGCAAAGAAAAAACTATATAGGACAGAAATAAAGAAATATAAATATAAAAAGAAAGAAAGAAAGAAAAGAAAGGATAGCAGAAAGTAAAGAATGGTCAGAAGAAGAAAAAAAAAGAAAGAAAAAATAAGAAACAGCAAAAAAAACAATAGGACAAAAAAGAAAAGAAAGAAAGAAAGAAAGAAAAAAGAAAGAAAAAGAAAAGAAAAGCAACAGCAAAATTCAATAATGAAGAAGAAACAAAAGAAAAGAAAAAAAAGAAATTAAAAAAAGAAAAAACTATAGGACAGAAAAAACCTTAAAAAAGAAAAAAAGAAAGAAAGAAAGAAAACCAAAAATTTTCCCTTAAGAAAGAATAGCAAAGCCCAAGAAGAAAAAAAAAAGAAAAAGAAAAAACTACTAAGAAACAGCAAAAAAAACTATAGGACAGAAAGAAAGAAAAGGAGAAAACAAAGAAAAACGTCGAAAGAAAGAATAGACACTCGGACAGCAAAGAAGAAAAAAAAAAAAAAGAAAAATAAGAAACAGCAAAGAAAAACTATAGGACAGAAAGAAAGAAAGAAAGAAAGAAAGAAAGAAAGAAAGAAAGAATAGCAGACAGCAAAGAAGAAGAAAACAAAAAGAAAATAAAAATAGAAACAAAAAAAAAAAAAAATAGGACAGAAAGAAAAGAAAGAAAAGAAAGAAAAAAAGAAAGAAAAAAGAAAGAAAAGAAAGAATAGACAGAAAAGAAGAAGAAAAAAAAAGAAAGAAAAAAAAAAAACAGCAAAAAAAAAAAAAAAAAGACAAGAAGAAAGAAAAGAAAAAAGAAAAGAAAGAAAGAAAGAAAGAAAGAAAGAAAAAATAGCAGACAGCAAAGAAGAATGAAAAAAAGTCAAAAAAGAAAGAAAAATAAGAAAAAATGCAAAAAGAAAAACTATACAGAAAGAAAAAAAAAAGAAAGAAAAAATAAGAAAGAAAAAAAAGAAAAGAAAGAAAGAAAGAAAGAAAGCAAAAAGAAGAAAAGAAAAAGAAAAAACAAAAGAAAAAAATAAGAAACAGCAAAAAAAAAACTATAGGACAGAAAGAAAGAAAGAAAGAAAGAAAAGAAGAAAGAAAGAAAGAAAGAATAGCAGACAGCAAAAAGAAGAAGAAAAAAAAAAGAAAGAAAAAAAAAGAAACAAAAGAAAAAACAATAGGACAGAAAGAAAGAAAGAAAGAAAGAAAGAAAGAAAGAAAGAAAGAATAGCAGACAGCAAAGAAGAAGAAAACAAAAGAAAGAAAAAATAAGAAACAGCAAAGAAAAACTATAGGACAGAAAGAAAGAAAGAAAGAAAGAAAGAAAGAAAGAAAGAAAGAAAGAAAGAATAGCAGACAGCAAAGAAGAAGAAAACAAAAGAAAGAAAAAATAAGAAACAGCAAAGAAAAACTATAGGACAGAAAGAAAGAAAGAAAGAAAGAAAGAAAGAAAGAAAGAAAAGAAAGAAAGAAAGAAAGCAAAAGAAAAAAAAGAAAAAAAAAAGAAAAAAAAAAAGAAAAAGAAGAAACAAAAAAAACTATAGACAGAAAAGAAAAGAAAGAAAGAAGAAAGAAAGAAAGAAAAAAGAAAGAAAAGAATAGAAGACAGCAAAGAAGAAGAAAAAAAAAGAAAGAAAAAAATAAGAAACAGCAAAGAAAAAACTATAGGAAAGAAAGAAAGAAAGAAAAAAGAAAGAAAGAAAGAAAAGAAAGAATAAAGAAGACAGACAGCAAAAGAAGAAGAAAACAAAAAGAAAGAAAAAATAAGAAACAAAAAGAAAAAACTATAGGACAGAAAGAAAGAAAAAGAAAAGAAAGAAAGAAAGAAAGAAAGAAAGAAAAGAAAGAAAAGAATAAAGAAAAACAAAACAGCAAAGAAGAAAAAAACAAAAGAAAAAAAATAAGAAACAGCAAAAGAAAAAAAGATGGGAAAGAAAAGAAAAAAAGAAAGAAAGAAAAACTATAGGAAGAAAGAAAGAAAGAAAGAAAGAAAGAAAGAAAGAAAAGAAAGAATAGCAGACAGCAAAGAAGAAGAAAAAAAAAAGAAAGAAAAATAAGAAACAGCAAAGAAAAACTATAGGACAGAAAAGAAAGAAAGAAAGAAAGAAAGAAAGAAAGAAAGAAAGAATAGCAGACAGCAAAGAAGAAGAAAACAAAAGAAAGAAAAAATAAGAAACAGCAAAAGAAAAACTATAGGACAGAAAAAAAAGAAAGAAAGAAAGAAAAAGAAAGAAAGAAAAAAATAGCAGACAGCAAAGAAGAAGAAAACAAAAGAAAGAAAAAATAAAAAACAAAAAGAAAAACTATAGGACAGAAAGAAAAGAAAGAAAGAAAGAAAAGAAAAGAAAAGAAAAGAATAGCAGACAGCAAAGAAGAAGAAAACAAAAGAAAAAAAAAAATAAGAAACAACAAAGAAAAAAACTATAGGACAGAAAAGAAAGAAAGAAAGAAAGAAAGAAAGAAAGAAAGAAAGAAAGAAAGAAAAGAAAAGAAAAAAAAGAAAGAAAAAAAATAAAAAACAGCAAAGAAAACTAGACAGAAAGAAAAGAAGAAGAAAACAAAAGAAAGAAAGAAAAAAAGAAGAAACAGAAAAAGAAGAAAAAACTATAGGAAAAAACAGCAAAGAAAACAAAAGAAAGAAAAAAAGAAAGAAAGAAAGAAAGAAAGAAAGAAAGAAAAGAATAGCAGACAGCAAAGAAGAAGAAAAAAAAAAGAAAGAAAAAAAAGAAACAAAAAAGAAAACTATAGGACAGAAAGAAAGAAAGAAAGAAAGAAAGAAAAAGAAAGAAAGAAAAAAGAAAGAAAAAGAAGAAAACAAAAAAAGAAAAATAAGAAGAAAAAAAAAAAAGAAAAAAAAAAAAAGAAAGAAACAGAAAAGAAAAAGAAAATAAAGAAAGAAAAAGAAAGAAAGAAAACTAGAAAAAGAAAGCAAGAAAGAAAAAAAAAAGAAAGAATAACAGACAGCAAAGAAGAAGAAAACAAAAGAAAGAAAAAATAAGAAACAGCAAAGAAAAACTATAGGACAGAAAGAAAGAAAGAAAGAAAGAAAGAAAGAAAGAAAGAAAGAAAGAAAGAAAGAAAGAATAGCAGACAGCAAAGAAGAAGAAAACAAAAGAAAGAAAAAATAAGAAACAGCAAAGAAAAACTATAGGACAGAAAGAAAGAAAGAAAGAAAGAAAGAAAGAAAGAAAGAATAGCAGACAGCAAAGAAGAAGAAAACAAAAGAAAGAAAAAATAAGAAACAGCAAAGAAAAACTATAGGACAGAAAGAAAGAAAGAAAGAAAGAAAGAAAGAAAGAAAGAAAGAAAGAATAGCAGACAGCAAAGAAGAAGAAAACAAAAGAAAGAAAAAATAAGAAACAGCAAAGAAAAACTATAGGACAGAAAGAAAGAAAGAAAAAAGAAAGAAAGAAAGAAAGAAAGAAAGAATAGCAGACAGCAAAAAAAGAAGAAGAAAACAAAAGAAAGAAAAAAATAAGAAACAAAAGAAAAAAATATACAGAAAGAAAGAAAAAAAAAAAGAAAAAAAAGAAAGAAAGAAAGAAAGAAAGAAAGAATAACAGACAGCAAAGAAGAAGAAAACAAAAGAAAGAAAAAATAAGAAACAGCAAAGAAAAAAACTATAGGACAGAAAAAAGAAAAGAAAGAAAGAAAGAAAGAAAGAAAAGAAAAAGAAAGAATAGCAGACAGCAAAGAAGAAGAAAACAAAAGAAAGAAAAAATAAAGAAACAAAAAAAAAAACTATAGGACAAAAAAGAAAGAAAGAAAGAAAGAAAGAAAGAAAGAAAGAAAGAAAGAAAGAAAGAAAAGAAAAGAAGACAGACAAAGAAGAAGAAAACAAAAGAAAGAAAAATAAGAAACAGCAAAGAAAAACTATAGGACAGAAAGAAAGAAAGAAAGAAAGAAAGAAAGAAAGAAAGAAAGAAAGAATAGCAGACAGCAAAGAAGAAGAAAACAAAAGAAAGAAAAATAAAAACAGCAAAGAAAAACTATAGGACAGAAAGAAAGAAAGAAAGAAAGAAAGAAAGAAAAAGAAAGAAAGAAAGAATAGCAGACAGCAAAAGAAGAAAAAAACAAAAGAAAGAAAAAAATAAGAAACAACAAAGAAAAACTATAGGACAGAAAGAAAGAAAAGAAAGAAAGAAAGAAAGAAAGAAAGAAAGAAAGAAAGAAAGAATAGCAGACAGCAAAAGAAGAAAACAAAAGAAAAGAAAAATAAGAAACAGCAAAGAAAAACTATAGGACAGAAAGAAAGAAAAGAAAGAAAGAAAGAAAGAAAGAAAGAAAAAAGAAAGAATAGCAGACAGCAAAGAAGAAGAAAACAAAAGAAAGAAAAAATAAGAAACAGCAAAAGAAAAACTATAGGACAGAAATAAAGAAAGAAAGAAAGAAAGAAAGAAAGAAAAGAAAGAAAGAAAGAATAGCAAAGAAGACAGCAAAAGAAGAAAAAAAAAAAAGAAAGAAAAAATAAGAAACAGCAAAAAAAAAACTATAGGACAGAAAGAAAGAAAGAAAGAAAAAGAAGAAAAAAAGAAAAAAAAAAGAAAAACAAAAAGAATAGCAGACAGAAAAGAAGAAGAAAACAAAAAGAAAGAAAAAAAAGAAAACAATAAAAACAGCAAAGAAAAAAAACTAGGACAGAAAGAAAAGAAAGAAAGAAAAAAGAAAGAAAGAAAGAAAGAAAGAAAAGAAAGAAAGAAAGAATAGACAGCAAAGAAGAAGAAAACAAAAGAAAGAAAAATAAGAAACAGCAAAGAAAAACTATAGGACAGAAAGAAAGAAAGAAAGAAAGAAAGAAAAAAGAAAGAAAGAAAGAAAGAAGAAGAAAACAGACAGAAAAAAGAAACAGAAAAAAAACAAAAAAAAAAGAAAAATAAAAAACAGCAAAGAAAAACTATAGGACAGAAAGAAAAGAAAAGAAAAAAAAAGAAAGAAAGAAAGAAAGAAAAACTATAGGACAGCAAAGAAGAAGAAAACAAAAAAGAAAAGAAAAAATAAGAAACAGCAAAGAAAAAAAAAAAAAGGACAGAAAAAAAGAAAGAAAGAAAGAAAGAAAGAAAGAAAGAAAGAAAAAAGAAAAGAATAGCAGACAGAAAAGAAGAAGAAAAACAAAAAAAGAAAAAATAAGAAACAGCAAAAGAAAAACTATAGGACAGAAAGAAAGAAAGAAAGAAAGAAAAAGAAAGAAAGAAAGAAAGAAAGAAAGAAAGAATAGCAGACAGCAAAAGAAGAAAAAAAAAAAAAAAAAAAAAATAAGAAAAAAGCAAAAGAAAAAAAGATAGGACAGAAAGAAAGAAAGAAAGAAAGAAAGAAAGAAAGAATAGCAGACAGCAAAGAAGAAAAAACAAAAACAAAAGAAAAAAAATAAGAAACAAAAAGAAAAAACTATAGGACAGAAAGAAAGAAAGAAAGAAAGAAAGAAAGAAAGAATAGAAGACAACAAAAGAAAAAAAATAAGAAAAGAAAGAAAAAAATAAAAAACAGAAAGAAAAAACTAAAGGACAGAAAGAAAGAAAGAAAGAATAAGAAAGAATAGAAGACAGCAAAGAAGAAAAAAAAAAAGAAAGAAAAGAATAAGAAACAACAAAAGAACTATAGGACAGAAAGAAAGAAAGAAAAGAAAGAAAGAAAAGAAAAAAGAAAGAAAGAAAGAAAGAAAGAAAAAAAAAGAAAGAAAGAAAAAAAAAGAAAGAAAGAAAGAAAAGCAACAGAAAAAAATAGCAAAGAAGAGAGCAAATAAGAAGAAGACAAAAGAAAGAAGGGAAGAAAAGAAGGCAACAAAGAAGAAGTATAATAGATAAAGAAAGAAGAAAGTGAAAAAAGAAAGAAAGAAAATAAAGAGAAAAACAGCAAAAACAAAAAAGAAGCCAGCAAAGAAAAAAACAAAAGAAAAAACGAAAAAAGGAACAAAGAAAGAGCAAGCGAAAGAAAACAACAAAGATGGCAAAGAAAAAAAAGACGAAAGAAAAAATTAGAATGACGGCAAAGAAGAAGTATAAGAAAGAAAGAATAGGCAAGAGAGATAAAACAACAAAGAAAAGGAAAGAAAAGAAGGTGACAAAGAAAGAAAAGCAACAGAAAAACAGCAAAGAAGATGGCAAAAAAAAGAAGACAAAAGATGAAAGAACGCATAAGACAGCAAAGAAGTATAAAAGGCACAGAAAGAAAGAATGAAAAAAAGAAAGAAAAAGCAAGAGAAATAAAACATCAAAGACAGCAGAGAATAAGGAACGAGTGAATGAAGAACAGAAGAAAAAAGGAAGGAAGGAGTGAAGTAAAGAAATAGTGGGCGTAGGATGAGGGTGAAGAAAATAGGAGGAGGAAGAAGCGAAGAAAAGTAGTAGGAGGAAGAGACTGAGGAGAAAAACGAACGACGGAATTGGCGAAGAAAAGAAGTATGAGGGGGAAGTCAATGAAGAGAAAAAGTTTAAAAAAATGAAGGGGCAAAGAAAAGAAGTAGTAGGATGAGGAGGAATAAAAAAAAGAAAGAAGGGAAGATGGAGTAGGAAGAAGAGTGATAAAAACAAAAGAAGGAAGAGGAGAAAAAAGAAGTAGGATGAGGAAGTGAATGAAGAGCAAAAGGACAAAAGACGGGAGAGGCGAAGAAAAGAAGTTGCGGGATGAGGGGGAGGAGGAAGAGAACATAAGAAATTAGGAGAAAGCGACTCAGAGAGACCCCCAAAAAAAGAAGGGGGTAATAACAGAAGTGAGTGGAAGAGAAGAAAAAGGAAAAGGTAACGAAAAAAGAACAAAAATAGGACGGAGAAAAGACTCAGGAAAAGAAAACAAAAAAAAAGGAAGAAGTGAAGAACGAAACTTAAATCGAGGCAAAAGATTAAGGAGGGAAAAAAGATGGAGAAAAAAGAATTAGAAGATGAAGATATCATCAAAGGGCCATATTCGTTTTGTGTTACCTTGAATTCAATATTATTTGTCTTAGATTCGTTTTATCTCGAGAGAACGAATAAATCCGAAAAAATTAGCGCTACGCTCTTCTAACGAGGAAGGAAGGAAAGCTGTGAGCAAGAAAGTGCTTAATCGTGTCACATAGCTTCAATGACTACCGATGATTGAAAATATTTTATTCTCATCTAATCCAGAATATATTCACACCGTTTATCTATTATCAAAATATATTTTACATCCTTTGTTTCTCGATTCCCTCCTCCTATTATTCGCTTTTTTCTCTTTCGTCTCTCTTCTCCTTATCTTTCCTTTTTATTTTTCTTGTTTTCATTTGTATTCTTATCGTCTTTCTTTTTCTCTTTCATTCTTCTCTATTCTCTTTCTCTTTCCTTCGTATTTTTTCTATTTTCATTTGTATTCTTATCGCCGGCAATGACAGAAGTACGCAGTTGCAGGATTTAAGAAAGCTTTATTCAACTGACAATACAAGATTCGCGTATAGTGTCCTTTTATAGTCCCAGTAAACAGAAATAGGTCTCTCAAAGAGGATAGTAACAAAACAAAGGGAGACCACTCTTGATTATTCATAACATTGCCTTTGTTTTTCTCTTTCTTTCATCTTTCTTCACTTTCTCTTTCTTTTCTCTTTTTTGTTATTTTCTTTTTTATTCTTATCGCCTTTCTTTCCTTCCTCTTTCTCTTTCCTTCCTCTTTTTAAATTTATTTTTCCATTCCTATCGTCTTTCTTTTTCTCTTTCTTTCTCTTCTCTTTCCTTCGTTTTTTCTTTTCTTTTTTATTCTTATCTTCTTTCTTTTTCTTTTTCTTTCTTCTCTCTTCTCTTTCTCTTTCCTTCCTTTTTTCTTTTCTTTTCTATTCTTATCTTATTTCTTTTTCTCTTTCTTCCGTCTCTCTTCTCTTTCTCTTTCCTTTCTCTTTTTCTTTTCTTTTCTATTCTTATCTTTTTTCTTTTTCTTTCTTCTTTCTTCTCTTTCTCTTTCCTTCCTTTTTTTAATTTTCTTTTGTATTCCCACCGTCTTTCTTTTTCTTTTTCTTCTTTCTCTCTTCCCTTTTCCTTTCCTTTCTCTTTTTTATTTTCTTTTCATTCATATCGTCTATTTTTTTTCTCTTTCTATAAGATTCCATGTATTTTCTAGTTGTCTTTCGCTTAATGTTTTTTGCATTGTCATTACACCCCATTTATTTTTTCTTTCTATTATCGTGTACAGGAAAAGCACATAAATAAAAAGTTAATTTTACTGACAATTTATTGTGTCCATAAAAATAAATGAATAAAAATTAATTAGCGTGTCAAAAATAATTATGATAAAAAAGTTATAACAATTCTAATTATCATTAATTCCCTCATTCTAATCCAATGAGAATCGACACAACATTTCTCCTCTACAAACGCAAACAGATAACATTCTTACTATCGGACAATCAGTCAACACAGACAGGCCGTCGACACGTGCGCCAACGGAAATTTTGCCTCCTTTTTCTTTTTCAAGCCATAATTATATTATTTATCTTTTAGCGCTCAACGAAAATTCGAGATAAGAAAACGACATGAAACGCAATTATCTGGACCATCATTGCACACATTGGTAAAAGAACATACGAGAACGTCTTTATAAACTTTACTTATCATATCATTATGTCGGATTTCCAATTCATATTTGATCAGTATTCGACACCAAATTCACAATTTTACACAGTATTACTTTCTCTCGCGTCTCCAACATCACAAAATAACCTGATAATAAATAATATTCGTGTGACGTCGTCCCCCGGTCGCAGCGTCGACTGTGTCGTTCGATCCCGGTCGCGGCGCCAATTGTGACGTCACGTGCTCCCCAGGGTCTGATATCCTGGTCTCGGACAGCACCAACTGTGACGTCTTCGCCGCGGCGTCAGCTGTTCGCTCCTCGCTGCTCCAAACGTGACGTTCTAACCCTTTGGTTAGATTGATACCAGCCTCGTCGTTCCCAACCCGCTTCCAACGCCTGGTTACCAGGGTAACTGCACTGATCTCCAGTCTGCCTACCCACGTTGTGAATTGATCTTAGACAGACGAGATCAAACAGGGGTTGGGGCCGTAATGCAAGTTGAGTCTAACGGGGATGATAACACAAATTATGTATTAAAAAAAAAAAAAAAACTCTGGTCCAACGTATCAAAGAAAAAAGGTAACAAACTTTTTATGTCTATTTGCTCGGTACATAGGACTATGTCTACTTCCCGACCCGTTCTATGGATTGTGGCACAACGCTTTTACTAGGCAACTTTAAGGCTTCAAGTTGTCTGCTCTCTAAGAAATTTGTGTTTCGGTGTGTCTTTGGACGAAAGTCGAAAAAAAAAACTTATTTCTGTGGTCTGATTCTGAGTCGCTCTTCAAACTACGTGTTAGTCCAGAAGTGTGCGTGAATCTTGGTCAGCTATCTTGACGCGGTTTCAACACTGGGCGTTCATCTCTGCTTGTCGTCCACGGCTCAAACTCTTTCGCCGTCCGCTGCTCAAACTCTCGCCGTCCGCGGCTGAAACTCTGATTTCTGTCGGTTGGGGTCCCGCTTTTATTGACGCAGTCAAAACTGGGGTGGGTCTGTCGGCGCCAGGGGTTTTTCGATAATTCTAAATACGTATCCACCCTTCTTATTTCTGGTTAGGGATTTTCCATTTTCGGTAACTCACTCTCCCCCCACTTCCTTTACTGTGCCTCTGAGGGGCGTATACCCGCTTCTTTCGCTTCTTCGTATCGGCTCCTTACACTTACACTTCTGACAAGGGCGTCGACCGATTCTCCTCGTGCGTCACGTGACCGCTCTCGGCCAATGAGGTCCTGGTCGGGTATCTTTCCTCCTCCTTCGTGTGTCATGTGACCGCTTTCGGCCAATGAGGTCCTGGTCGGGTATCTTTCCTCCTCCTTCGTGTGTCATGTGACCTTATTTAGCTAATGACGTCTTTAGTTGGGCGTGGACAATCCGTGGCTTTGTTTTAGGAAAGAACACCTTGTTTAAAAAACAAAAATATTAATTTAAATCTCCCTTATCATGAGCGACTGAGATGACACCTTCGGCTTTTTAACACGTGGTATTTGTCAAGCAGTTTATCGCTAATTGGATCTAAGAAAGGAATTTCTCAGACCTTTTGGCGTTTTGGAACGAAATAAAAATATTTTATTTTCCCCCGCTTGAAGCGCTGATAATAAAAATCTTTATTATCTCAAAAAAAAAAATTTCCAGCGACATCGTCTTGTGTGGCTTTTTCTAATTCTGGAGACTGTCTATGTTTTCGTATTAATGGTTTGCCTTCATATACTTAGATACACTTCCCACCTGTTACCTATCATCCCAATGACACACTTTCCACTTGTTACTTATCAATATTTTTCATTGTCCCGAAACTTCGTTTCTTCAACCAATTGATAACAACTTCCATTTCCACCTGATCTCGGTTAGATGCTCGACCTGGATATTTTTTGACACCTGTTATCTGTCAGCCGTGCGAGTGTGTGCTCGCTTATGACCTGTTTTCGTATTATTTTTTCTTTCTTTCTTCTTCGTTTTCTCTTTCCTTCTTCCAGATCGCTTGAACGTAAAGAAAGAATTATTCTTAAAACCCAAAATATTTTTCGGCCCTAAATAATTATTAAATGGTTGATAAACCGTAAAAAAAAATCATATATCTATGAATATTTCTTTTCAGCTCGTCAGGTATGCATGGTGCCACATTGTTTTGCTATTTCTACGACTTGTTGTTTCTTATTTTACGAGTATTTTGGTATATATAAATGATAGGGGGGGTGCTATAGTTATTTACTCAGTTTTAAAACTTTCTTTCTGTTCTCTTTCTTTCTTCATTTTTCTTCCTACTTCCATTTCCTTTCTTTCGCTTATATTTTTCTGCCTTTCTTTTCTCTTTAATTTATTTTCTTTTTTCTTCTCCTTTGTTTTTTTTTTTTTCATCCAACTTTTCATTTTTTTTTCGTTGTCTTTCCTTCTGTTCTTTCTACCTTTCCTCATCCATTCAATAATTTATTTATTTCATTCTCCGTTTCTTCCTTTACCCTCTCTCCAGTCCTTCTATTTCTTTTCCTGTTTCCTGTTACTTTACCATTATTTATTGATGTAGCTATTACTTTCCTTCCATTCTTTCTTTCATTTTAGTTCTTTCTTTTTCTTTCTTTCCTTCTTTCTTTCTTTCTCTCTTTCTTTCCTTCTTTCTTCCCTTTCTTCTTTCCTTCTTTCCTTCTTTCATTCCTTCTTTCTTTCTTTCCTTCTTTCTTTCTTTCCTTCTCTCTTTCTTTATTTCCATCTTTCTTTCTTTCTTTCCTTCCTTCTTTCGTTCTTTTTTCTTTCCTTCATTCTGTCTTTCTTTCTTTCTTTTTTCTTTCTTTCTTTCTTTCCTTCTTTCTTTTTTCCTTCTTTCTTTCTTTCCTTCTTTCATTCCTTATTTCTTCCCTTCTTTCTTTCTTTCTTTCTTTCTTTCTTTTTTCTTTCTTTCCTTCTTTCTTTCTTTTTCCTTCTTTCTTTCTTTCTTTCTATTTCATAATTGTATTTCATTTTCCCTGCATGCCTTCTTATACTCTTTTCTTCTTTCCTTCCCTCCTTCTTTCTTTCTTTCTTTCTTTCTTTCCTTCTTTCTTTCTTTCTTTCTTTCCTTCTTTCTATTTCATACAATTGTATTTCATTTTCCCTGCATGCCTTCTTATACTCTTTTCTTTTTTCCTTCTTTCTTTACTTCTTTCTTTCTTTCTTTCTTTCTTTATTTCCTTCTTTCTTTCTTTCTTTCTTTCCTTCTTTCTTTCTTTCTTTCTTTCTTTCTATTTCATACAACTGTATTTCATTTTCCCGGCATGCTTTCTTATACTCTTTTCTTCTCTTCAGTTAAATATTTCTGGCGCAACTCTTTTGGACTTTTCCCCAAGATGCTGTAAAAATGCCGTTGCAGTATTTGCTTTCTTTAGGCACAAGTGCATTAAAC